TCATTCAGAATCAAAAGGCTTGAAGGGATCATATTTTCTCCTCGGAATGCAATCATCATCATCTGAACAAACTCTAGGATTGAATGTCAAAGTTGCCTTGTGAACAGAAGCGTTCTTAGAGCTCAACCCAGCTGAATCATCAGCCTTCATAGGGGTCGAGTTGTCCAATTGAAAGATCCAAGCTGGCACCACCAATGGCTCCCACCCAAGCTCCATGCACAGAGTTCATTTAAGAATGATAGAAGAGGAACTTTTTGATCCTGAAAGTCTCTCATCCAACCCCGAAGGTAATATGATTCATCAACAAAATGAATCACTACATTCTTAGGATCAATTGCTGTGACCACCAAGATGGCTTGTAGCTTGACAGATTTGACAAGAAATTCCCGAATCTCATCCATAGGGTGAACTGCAAGGGAGAAACTGATTTTTGTATCTCAACCTCATAAAACAAAAAAGCTGGCTCTCCACACCTTAGAGAAGGAAATTTGATTGGAAAATCGATGGCTGGGGGCAACAAACAGAATGGACAAGGGAAAGAAGATGCTAAAACTGAAGCAAAAAAAGGTTTGCCACCTGGGGGATCCCCAGGGAAGCCTCTAGCTGTTTTCACGCTAGGGTTCCTGATTTAAGTTACCCACATCACTCACTGAAACACCAACATAGTTTTTCCCCAAAAACTTTTCCATGAAGGCATCATATAGTTTTTAAGGCGCCTAGACGATTCTAGGTGGTAGCGAGGCACCTAAGTTTTTCCTAGTTTTCTAGTTTTATATACAATTCAGCATGCATTCGATTGGGAAAATAGCAATTTTCTCTATTAGAAACAAAAAACTACCTCTCAAAACATGGAAAATCAACATATCTAGGACAATATGATTTTAGTTCTATTAATTTCAATACTTTCAAAAATAATATTAATATAACAAAAAATTCATAAGGCAATTTCATATCAAATAAGCAACTAAAAAAGGCTATAGTTTTATATGATAAAATTTAATATAGAAAGTAAAAGAGAAAAAGAACAAGGGTAGGTGTCAGTTTATTTGATATAAGAGAGAGAGAAAGTAAAAAGAAAACAAAAAGGAAAGAAACTTCTTTATATTTCTATTCTTTTTATTTTCTTTTCCTCTTCTCAAAACCTTTGGATCTTTTAAATTTCAATGGTAAAATTTTAAAACAAAGTATAAATGATACATATAGTATATAATAGAATGTAGTAACATACATATTAGTAAGATGCAACAATATGAATGGTATTGTAATAAGGCACCCACCTTGTCATTTTAGTCAGCTAGGCAGGCACCTAGTTGCCTAGGTGATGCCTTGACAATTATGGCAGGCATTTTTTCCATTTACTTTGGTCACTCCACAATCTTCCTCCATATCCACGCCATTCTCCTCTCCACTCAAAGAAACCAAACACCTCACCAAATCATCCTCAATGCGTCCTTCCATCATGAACAAGAGCTATGAAAAAACTCAGCAATGAGTAGAGAAGAATAGATCATAAGAACAGGTCAAGCACAGAGCCTCCATGAGAAAGGCAAAACCATTACTCTGGAGGACATTTCCACTGACATTGACATTTTAAACCTTGGACCTCTGTGAAAGCAGTTATCTATAATTCTTTGGACCTCTGTGAAAGCAGTTATCTATAATTCTTTGGACCTCTGTGAAGTATGAAACAATTAACATCCCAAATGATACAAGGCCAGTTAGCTCCATCTTCTTGCATTTGTCTTTGAGAACAGAACCTCTAGCATAAGGGAAACTACTAATGCCACTTAACATATTATACTGAAAAATATTGTCAGGCATGAGGTTAAAGTCCAACTTCCCTAGTTGGGCATTATTGTTCAATGTGATTTACTAGTGCTACTGCAACCCAAACATGCATGCACACAAAAAGGAAAAAAATAAGGAACTTATCTTCACTAGTTTGTACTGTTTTTTTTCTTTATCAATAACAAGTAACTTTTCATTAAAAATTAAGCTTTGAGTACATGAAAGGGGAGAAAAGCTTTCTTAACTCTCCCATGGAAAACTGAAGGCTACCCCAAAGAAGAAGGTACAATTACAAATGAGCCCAAAATAAAGAGTCCCTATTCAACCCTTGTTTAGCTAACCCATCAACCCATCAGCCAAAGATATGCACTTCTCTTAACCCATATATATTTTACAACAAAGTCCTGTGTCAGCCATTTGAATTTCTTCTATTCATTACTGTAGTTCCAAAGCCCATTCATATCTTCCTTTAGCCAGCCCACTACCACCTTAAAATCTCCTTCTATGGCCAATTTACTAATACTCGGCTCCTTAGCTCTTTGTACTCCTTCCATAGAAGCCAAAATCTCACCCCCTGAGAGTCACCTACTCCAATGGCAACATTAGTTTGTACTGTTAAGAACGGACTACACCCCCAATGGCAACATTAGTAGACTGCATGTGCACAATCTCCGATGAAGCCCGCATCTTCTTAAACAACCTTTAGTGCTTGAGGATTCGAATAAGATCCATAAAATATTTGTTCCAAATGAGCTGATGATGAGTGGGGCAGAAACAAAGGATTGTTGGAGATTTTTTTGTTTAAACCAAGCAAAGGATGCAGTTAAGAAAACAGTTGAAAATTGGTTGGATCCCCAAATCCCAACTCCCAAATCTAAGCCAACTACAACACTTGTACTGGAAATGTAAACCCAGCCAATATATTTACAGCACTAGTAAAGTTGGAAATACCTCAGACAATCCCTGATTAGTAAGTAACCAGCACAAATCAGATCTTGTCGTCAAATCAGATGAAGAATGCTCAGTTTACCAGTTACACATTTGCATGTAGTCCTTGACAGCAACCAACAGAAAACATAACATATTTTATGTCAATGCAAACAGAGTTTTTAGAGTACATAAATGAATATTAGGAAAGCAGTAGAAGGGACACATGCGATGCACAATCCAGTGTTAAAAAGATGCCAATGTTACAATCACTTTCTTAACTGAACTTGTTATACGTAAGTTTAGTTTTAAGCCTCATATTTAGTTTTTATTTAATTCAAAAAAAATACACAAAATTCTAAAAGGGTTGGCAAGAAATATGAGGAATCTGAGATGAACAACTGCATTTTAGAATATAGGATAGATACCATTGGGGTTTCCCTGTTCATAGAAGCTTCGTAAAAGAGAGATGGCTTCTGATGCCATTATCCCTCCAGTACATTTGAAACCTTTCCCTTTTGAAGTGTCGTCACTGTCCAAAGAATACAGAATTTTAAGATAAATGCAAGGTGGATAACTAATAACAATGATAAGAACAAAACACATTCCAACTATATGTGATTGGGCTACATGAATCCTGTTTTTTCATTGCAACAATCACACAAGAATAAAGCATATCCCAACTATATGTGATTGGCTACATGAATCCTGTTTTTCCATTGGGACAATCTAAAACAGGGTAGCCCATTGCACAAGGCTCCCGGCCAATGCAGGGTCTGGGGAGGGACAGATGTACGAAACCTTACCCCTGCACATACAGAGAGGCTGTTTCCAAGATTTGAACCCTGATCACCCAAGTCGCAATGGAGCACCCCAACTGTTGCACCAAGCGCACCCACCATTGCAACAATCTCATTCACGGTTAAATTCTGGGCCTCAAAATGATTCTTCACTACTTCAGCATATGTACATTTCAGATTAAAATACAATGCAAAGTTCTGATCCCATAAGCCGTAAATTGCTAATGGAAGAAGACAAGTAGAGGGTCCTCAAACTATCAGATCTAGTAGTTGTCTAAGGCAAAGGAAGGTAACTTGGGTGATTAACAATGATGAATAGAGATGGAGAAGTAAGTAGACAGCTTGCAGTCCACCAAAGAATGAGTGGGAGATTAGAACTGTTCACTTATTTTAAGGCATTTCACAATATGATTCTTATGAATAATGCTATAATTAAGACCTGGAATTAGAACTGTTCTCTACAACCAAAGCAGTTTTCTTTCCCATGTGCTTCTCGGCCCATTCACATGTATGGACTCACCTGCTTGCACATTTACAATAAACGAGAAGATTCCACATGAGGCCTTATCTGCCAACCCCCTTAAAATTTTCTCCCATTCTGATTAAAATATAAAGAAGATATGGCAATAGTGCCCTCTCATACAAAATCACTCAACTAAACTCTCCTCTGGAGTCCTATGTCAACAACTTTGAAAGAAGAAAAAAGAACAGCAAGGATTTTTCACATTGGAATTTTGTTCAAAATCCCCTTCTTATGTCCAAAGTCTAAAATGCACATATCAAATAAAATATTAAAATATACCCCATTTAATGTCCCATGGTAGCCGACCCCATATAGTTGGGATAAAGCATGATGATAATGATGATAACCCCCTTTTAATGTCCCCTAAGAGAGTAAAGAAACCTTTCAGAGAAAAAACTCAAACACTTATTGAAACAAGCCCAAATATATCCTTCTATTCTGCATCCATTGAGTGAAAAGAAGATTGAAATACGAGTGCTTAGAAGAAACAAGCCACATTGGAAAGGGCTCAAGAGGAAGACCATTTTATATTTTGTGCTTAGCCCATGGATTTAACTTCTGAGGATGTCGTTTTTCATTTAGATAGATAGATAGATAGTCAAGTAGGAAGCTTCCCTACAGCAAACCAGGTCAAATAGAGATTAGCTCTAAACAACCTACGTTTTTCCACCACTAGAAGGGATGATGTGCCAGGTTCAGACTGTCAATCTGACAGAGGAACTTGTTCTCAATCAATCTTACAATTTTTCTTTCATCTAAATTTCCAAAGAACAGTTCAATTTTAAGACCTATTACTGTTCCTTATTATCTGATTGAAATCACGCATCCACTATGGTAAAATCTGCACAAGAAAATTTGGGACAGGATATCACTTGTAGATAGATACCAGTGAACGAAAAAAAAAATGAAAATTAAGCAGTGAATAACCACTTGCTTCTAATATCAAAGGTTTAGAAGAAAACCTGGAAAGGTGCTCTGAGCCACTTGAGTGTATTGATAAGATTGATCCACATCCACCAAATTTATCATTGGCACAGCCATAATATACTTCCCTGATTCCTAAAAGAATAAAAGAGAGAAAAAACAAAAAGTGTTGTGAGCATGTAACCATTGCATAAAATTTAACAAGAAAATTAGCTTTCATAATGAGAAATATAGGTTATATATGCAAACCAAGGATTGATAAAGCCATGGCACACATAATACATGGTTCACATGTAACATAAAAGTCAAATCCCGAAAACTTCTCCGCAACTTCTGCCTCAGAAAGTCCAAGTTTCTGCAACTGTTCAAGAAGAACATCAATGGCTTCCATCTCTGCATGTCTCGTAGCCTGTTCAGCCAAAGAAATGGAAATATGTCATGGAAAGTGGAAACCATTTCTTGTACTCTTGGTAGCATTCACTGAGGAATATGTCAATTCTAGTAAAATTTGATGTCACTACCCATAGAAAGGGAAATATGTTGGGGAAATATTAGGAAATTTAGGAATACTTTAAACCATGTTCCCTATTACAGGTGATGAGAAATTAAGGGTTTGGGGAAAAATGGTGCAAGTGGATTTATGGATGCATTGGGACTTGCCACTATTCAATACTGGATAGTAGTTACGGATTTTTTTTCCTGCTTCTAGAGGCCAAAGACAAGGAGATCCCTTATCACCTTTCCTTTTTACCTTAGTTGCGGATGTTTCTAAGTAGGCTAATCTCTAGAGAAGATAAAGAAGGTCCTTCTAGAGGTTGCAAGAGTTGGTAGTGATGAAGTTGTAGTCACTCACCTAAAATTTGCAAATGATATTATAATTTTTTGTGATGGTGAAGATCCCAACAAACAAGAATTTTAAGATTGCTGACAAGTCTTTCTGATAGGATTTTCAAACTTAAGAATAAATTTTGAAAGAAGTTGTATAGCTGGGGTCAACATGGAGGATAGAGAGGTAGAAACTGTAGCATGGATCCTTGGGTGAACGACAAAGTCATGGTAGGGGGGGGATTCCAGGAGTGATCTATTATGGAACTTAGTGATAGAAAGATTTGGAAAAAGACTTGCAACCTGAATTGCATACTCAAGAAACTTTTCCCAATATAGTAATGTTTTTTTTTATCTATAACAGAATTTCATTGATAGACTGATACATAGCAGAAAAAGGAGAGATAAATCCCAAGGTAGTAATGTTGCTGATGCCACTTTAAGCAGTTGGAAAGGCAGGAGGATAGACTAGATGCAAGGAGGTTATAAGGTTATTTGGAAATGTCTCTGGTGATAGTGAGGGAGAAATGTTTGGTTTCCTAACAGAGAAAAGTTTTTTGAGTATGCAAACCAGAATATGAGTGAGATCAGAGGAAGGGAGATGAATGAAACACTCAAAAGCAGCCATAGGCTTTACTTTGGCGACAAAGTGGAGAAAGGAGGTGACAGTGTAAAAGAAAAAAATTTCTGTTCAAGGAAATAAATGGAGGCTTAACGGGTAAAAATTAGAGAGGACAGGAAATCTATGGTGATTCTGATCAAGAAATCTCTGGACTGGTTTAAATGCTTTATTGATGGGGAGGTGCATAGTTGTCAAGGCAATGCCTAGGTAGGCACCTAGGCAACGACTAGGCAATAAGGCATTCTTGGAGGGTCACCTTGCCCAAACGCCAACATATTTATATGTAAGACATTGGGTTCATATTTTCAAAACCCAAATCCATAACTACATTTTTGGGCTGGGTCCAGGATAACCCATCCTAAGTTGCACCTCTAAATGGCAGCTTTCTAATCAACCATCTGAATCTACATAGCATGCAAGAAAAACTTTAGAAAGTGAACAGATTATAACACTTCTCTTCCTTCAAAGATTTAAATACATGAAACATTTGGGTCAACAAGAATTAGATCAAGTGATATTTTAGATTGAAACACCATTAAACGTGACTGCAAAATACTGAAGTGCCACTCTTATCTTCAAGGACAGTAAAGTTCATGTATGTGTAAAGTTAATAGCAATTATGTTCGCAATGCAAGGTGAGAAGAATTCTTGGAATGAGTATACTAGGTGAATAAAAGAGAAATATCTACCTCAACTTTGGGAGGATGCCAGTAACTTTGGCAAGAATTGGCCTTTGGGATTAAAAAATTTAGATCCTTTGCTAAGTGTGATTTTGTATTCAATTGGATGGCTGTTTCGGGTGCATAGATTGGCATACTGTAAGCTGCCTTTTGGTTTCCCTTCTTTGGTATATTATAACAAGTTTATTAATTATTAAAAAACTAGGAGGTTTGAAAACAATCAAGCACAATAAACAAAGAAGTCAGACTTTTATGAAAAGAATAAAAAGGCCAGGCATGTACATTCCGCGTCTCAGTAGTCCGGTTCCTCCCTGAGGCAACAACCTTTCCATCCTCAACTATCACACAGCTGTCCAATTAAATATGAAGCTTGCATGAGTACATATAACAAAAACAGTATTATCCAATAAGAAGCTAGAGACAGAAATTAATGAAAAGGATAGTTCCAACACATACTACTAATATAGATTCATAACATAGAGAGTGAAGTTAAACTGTTACATTTCATCCCCTCATTAAGGCTCTAAATTATAATTTTCAGCTACCAATCACAACACTAAGAATCATGTCATGACAAAAGTGATGCAGCACAACAAAGAACTGTAAAGAGAGAAATCTAGGATTCACTTGTACAGGGTTTAGGCCCCAAACCCAAACATAGGAAGCATCACAGATCCACATAAAGAAACAAACTTCTGTATTTATTCACTGTCTTGAGAAACAACCAATACACCTATATTTATAACATAAAATAGCAACTGGTTGTCCTAAATTGGGAATCCTACTCTTAGTTGGATTAGGAATTCTAATTTGAACTGGACAGAAAATAATAACTCCTAACAACTATATAACAACCTTTCTGAAAAACACTCCTGCTGTAAAACACTCTCCTAACACACACTTCTAACTCTACTATTTCTTAAACTTAATTGCAAAGTCAACACACCCAGGATTCTCTCACTCCCAGCTAGAATATCCTCCTCCATCATTGTGCCAAACAAGAACCATGGCCTTTGAATTGTTGGGCACTTTTCTTTTATTTCCAGAAGAAGAAGAGAAAAGAAGAGGAAAATGTAGGGACAAAATGGGTGTATTAGCCATTTGGTCAGCCCACACTCTTCTATTTATATTAGAGTGATTAAAATATAAAATTACAACTTTGCCCTTCATTAGTTGGGGCGGCAAATGGGAGGGTTGGGTTAGGTTGGGTGTGGGTTGACTACCAACCCACCCATATTGATCTGCTGACTCATTTGCCACATATTTATTGGGTGTTATTGGGTCACAACCCACCTTGACCCTGACCCACCAGAACCCACCCATATGACCCGCTAATCCAATACAAATATTGTAGCCAAACAAAAAATACACATATTAATAAAATTACTGAAAATACAAAAATCACAAAAATAATAACACAAAATTTGAGATAAATTTGCAGAAAAGAAAACATGAAAGATTGCAGAAAAACAAAAAATTAATAAGAATTGCAAAAAAACATGGAAATGATAAAATTTTAAAAAATATATATACTTAAACAAAAAAGAAGAAATTACATAAAATACATATAAATTGATAAAAATTCAAATATGTTTCAACGCAGAAATTGCATAAAATACATAAAATAATCAAAAATCAAAAAAACGTATATACTTCAACCAAAATTAAGAAATTGTCGAAAAATAAATAAAATGATAAAAATTAAAAATATATATTTAATCTAATACCATAATACAGAAAATGATAAAAATTTAATATATATAGATATATATAGATATATATATTTGAGAAACTAGGAAATTACCAACAGATGGTTGAAAAAGCTGAACTTTGATGGGAGCTGTGTGGGTAACCCAGGCCCTTCAGGCATTGGGGGGCGCATTAGAGATGAAAATGGAAACACTATTGCTCTATACTCCGGTCCTGTGGAGCAGGGTGATGTGGAAAGGTCAGAGTTTCTAGCTGCAGCATATGGGGTTGAGAAGGCTAAAGAATTGGGTATTAGACTGATCATCGAGGGAGACTCAAAAACTATGATAAAATGGTTGCAGAAAGGGGAAGGGGTGACATGGCAGTTGAAGAATGAATTCCGAAGACTTAAATGGATGTCAAGGACTCAAGGAACATGTCAATCCAGGTGGAATGGGTTAGGAGATCTGCCAACAGTTTGGCAGATAGCTTAGCAAAGCAAGGGGTTCAAAGAACACATGTTTTGGGCACATTTGTAATTTTGTTCCGAAGAACAAATAATCACCTCCACAATAACAAACAAATTGAGGATGTATGACATAGAGTGAGAACGACAGAATATATTCTCTAATTGTATGTAATCCGAGAGAGGATATTTTGATCAAGAGTGGAGAAGAGCCTGTTAGGTGAGGTCCTTGAATAAGTTTATATTTTTTTTTATCAATAATAGGTTGATATTTTCTAACACGCCCCCTCACACGAAAGCCCATTGAGCTTGAAGTGTGAACAAGCATAGGCCCACCCATACCTTGTGCTGAAACTTAATTAATTATAATGGCGGTAATAAGGATCAAACACTAAACCACTCGGTCAAAGTAGCTCTAATACCATCTCAAAGAACCATTCAACCTAAAAGCTTAAGTTGTTAGGTGAGGTCCTTGAATAGGTTGATATTTGCTAACAGAGCCATAATTTGGGATCATAAGAGATGGAGAGTTGCAAATTGCAAAATAAAATTAAAGAAGAGACAGGAAGAAAAAACAAAAACCAAAATAGAGGAAGAAGAAAATAGCATCAATCTCAATACCTCAATGGTGAGTGATGAAGAAGAGTAGAAGAGGCTTTGAGTAGAAATCTGTTGAATTAAAAAATATGAACGAAAAACAGTTTCTTGAAGAGAGAAGGAAGAGAGAAGAAGAGAAGTTGAAAACAAAAGAGAGCAATAATCTGGCCGCCCCCTTCACTTATTATTTATACTAAAATAATAGAACAGTACAAAGACAAATATGCCCTAGGGCGGCAAAACATAAAACGACATATATAACACAAAAACATAATAAAATTTAGACTCACATAACTACTGTGGTCCCCACCTCCTATCTAACAACTAACATAAAACATCTACTCAGAAAAACATCATAAAACTAATTAATCTTCAACACTTTGAACATCAATCATCGTCGTCAATGTCATCTTCCTACTCTTTTCTTCCAGCTACCCGATCCCTAATGTAAACCAAAGCCATTCAAACCCTAATGATTGATGTTATGACCCAATGGGTATTACTTGACCAACCCACCCTGACCCTTTTCCCCTAACCCAAATGAGTTGTTGGGCCCACATTGACCCACATGATATGTGGGTGGGTATGGGTGGGTTTTCAAGTTGGTGGGTTGGGTGGATCAAGTGGGTTGGGATCAAAGTTGCCAGCCCCATTCTTTAGTAATAAGACAACAAAGACACTATGTATCTCTAATGAATAGCACTTCTTAAAGAGCCAGCAAAAGTTAAAGCGTGTCCCTCAGGACCACAATGTGAACAAAAATGTACTCCATGACAATTTCTACAATATCCAATTATATGGCCATCAAGACTGCAATATGTGCAAAACCTTGTTTTAGTGGTCCCACCACGGCCACCCCAAGTATCCATACAAAACATTGCCAAGCTAAAACAATCTATTATGGGTAATCACCATTCTCACACCACATGACCAGCATATCCACCACCTTCCTTGACTCACAAGCGGCATATCACATCAAACTCCCAACTCCCTCTTTGTAATAGAACAAATAGAGGGAGAAAATTCAGTTCAGAATCACTTATACTTGAGAAAAACAAGACAACAAGAGGCAAAAAAATGATAAGTAATCATATCTGCATTACTTCGCAAAATTCCCCAAGATGAAGGGAGGAGATAGCCCAAGATGTACAATAAAGAGAAGAAAAGAAAGAAGAGAGCAGCCATGAATAGAGAAGAAAAGGAGTTGCTGGTTGGAGAAAAATTCACTCCCCCAATTGCCTAGATCTGTATTTATATTATTTTCTCAAAAAGAAAATAAGATTACAGCAATAAGCTGTTTGGTAATAACACGGAATTGATTAAAGTGTCCTACTTAAGTAAAAAGGCTAAATAGATTGTTATACCCCCTAAATATAACAGCCTCAAGAATGAATAAGAAAGAAGCATAAACAGTAAGAAACAACTATGATGACAATACTCCCAACACCAATTATATCACAATATGGATAGGATACTTAAGAAAATTCAGCACAACTGGTTTTTAAGTGATGGGTTACTCACACAAAAAAAAAAAAAAAAACTTTTCCCACCTTATACTATAGATGAAGCAATGGGATTCTCCCAGAACAGATGCACAATTAAATTTATTTACTTGGAATATTTATCGAAGATAGGTCATCTTGAAAAGTTAAATTTATGAATGCCAGGACATAAACAATTCATCTCATCTCACAAGCAGAAGATTGTAATAAAAGACTATTAAAAAGCTAAAGATACCCAACCAATCCTTATAAATGCAGTGTAACTAAGGTCACAAATATACCAAGATGTTGGAGCTGATACGTAATAGGGAGCAGCTTATAATAAGAGAAATAAGTATTTGCTTACCCAACAGGCACTTCAAGGCTTTCCATCGCAAGCTTGGCCTGTGAATGGGAAAGAAGCGAACTACAAGAGTAAGCGAAACAACACTTTTGCAAGGAGTCAGGGCTAGAGAAACAAATCAAATAATAGTATTTCTGAAAGTGTAAAATGCAGATGCCAAGAATGAAATGATCAGTAAAACAAAGCATGTAAAAGTAAGAAGATAAATATTTAAATCAATCCTTCTTCAACATGAATTAGTTGAAAGATAACTCTGGATTAACAATTTAATGAACGAACTCTGATTATTATTTGACCAAAAAATTAAGCAAAACCAGCAATGACCTGACACTTTGACCCATCTGAATGTTGACAGCTTTGAATCTTTTAGCCTTGATATCTTAAAGAAACATGTTCCATTAAGATACTACCCATATAAATCCCAAATATTAGTTGCTCAAGGTTTTTTCATTGATAACTATGAGGCATCCCTCACCCTACAGTTAGGTTCTTATTCTTACAACAAATTGCTCCAGAACATTTTGCCCTGCTCACCCCTTGTCTAGCCGTGTTGCATCAGCTAGCACATTTGCTGATCTAAGTCCATGTTACTTCAGCAGGTTCAGAGCTCCTTCAAGTAATAACAATAATGCCAGGGGCTTGTTCATTTTATTGCAGTCATTGCACCACCACATCTGAGTCCCCCTCCACTACAATATCCCTCAAATAGACCTCGCCATTCTTAGGCCATGCGAATGCTAACAGCCAGGTTTTAAAATTTTGCAACAATATGTATATTTCCATCAAGGGCCCAATATGTTGAACGCATAGAAACTCAGGGTTTCATTCCCTTTGTCTGTATTGGGCCAATATGGGCCCATATCAAGTTGTTTCGGGTTGGCCAATACAGACCAAATCTCTGAGTGTCTTGGCCATAGACCTGCTCACGGGCTACACTTTGCTATTTATTAACAGAATACATTCAGGCCCGACCATCCTATATCTTGAGCCCGAGCTGGCCCTTCTATAAAGCCTGAAGCCCAGCCTATAAATTGGGAAAAAATATTTTTTTTTTGTTTTTTTACTCAATAAAAAAAACTGATTTATTTATATTAAATGACCTTAGAACCCAAAAATCTCTCACTATGGCTTGAGAAAATAGAAGAGGAACAAAGAAAAATATAAATATATTTTTTATTATATAAAATATTATTGGGCTCAGGCTCGGGCAAGGCTTTTTTGAGAAAGCTAGAGTCTAGCCCAAAAAAAGTTGGGTCTGGTATTTTGGCCCTGAGCCCAAGCCTATGAGCCTAAAATAATGTCCAAGCCCGAAAATGAACAAGTCTAATAGGCCGCCAATAGATTCCAATTTTTATTATTATAACCAAACTCCCTCTCTCTTTAATAACTACAATATTTAAGACAACTTTTCAAATTCAAATTTGTCAAATTCCTAATCTTTCTCTCATTTCCTAAATAACCCCTATAATTACCCCTTTCTCTCCTAATAACTCCTATAATTAACTCAACTTTTCAAATTCAAATTTGTCTATCTCACTTTTAACTAACTCCTACATTTAGGACAATATTCAAATTTGAATTTGATGTGTCATTAAACTAGCTATAAATATAAAACCACAAGTAGGAAGTAAGAAGATTTGAACACTGGTCATTAGTTTGTAATGACCATAAGCCCACCACTATGCCATACTCAAAATGTTTGTTATAACCATATGCATTTTGATTCTTAACTAAACTTTCTCTTCTTAGGGATGTTTGTCAATAAATGCAAACATTGACTATTACAATATATACTAATAAATATTAACACAAATTATATTGGTTTTCTAAAAATTAAGGTATATACCATTATACATACACATTTTAGTTCTTCCATCAATTTTCAATGGAACCATTTGTGCCCCGCTAATTTCACACTTTACATAAACCATTAAAGTATGGTTTTTTATGTTCAAATAACTTATGTATAGTCATATGAAACTTATATTTGTTGTTACTTATAAATTTTCATGATTTATTTGAGTTTCCTAGCATATTCATGCGTATCTTGATTTTCCATCTGTATCGATGTCTATCCAAATCATATCCCAACATATCTCTTAAAATTGCATTTCCAATACTTTGTACCTTGACAGGAACCTTTGCAATGTCTCCAACATAGTCTTCCATCCACTCTTCTTACCCTCAGGTATGCATATCATCTGCTTTCCGCCATTGCAAATAACTTGGTTAGTATTAGAAACCACCCATTTTGATTCTTCCTCATCTCTACAACATACTCCTTCCCTTCCATTTTCAAATTATTCCCCCATTTGAATCTGTTAATAGTGTAGCCGGCAACATCCAAAACACCCTTAAACCAAATTATCAGATCCCCAACCAACAGCAAGGTCGCTTTTTGTCTTCTCTTTCCTTAAGTGTCACCACTCCCCTAGTTTTGATCTCCTTGAGCAACATCTTCTTCACTTGTATTGCAACCTCCTTCCATTTTCCAGCTTTCTCGAACCTTCTCTCCATCTTCTCATCTACAAAGTTCTAAATAACTGCTTCTCTTCTACCAATTTATTTAGCAAAGAACAAAACCATCTCCTCCACAAAGTTCCAGGTAACTGCTTAACTTCAACCAGCTTTCTCAAACCTTCAACAATCCATATTTGGTCTACCATTTTTTAGGGACATCACCATTTTCTATAATTTTTCTTCCTCCAATATTTTACCCCCAGCCTGGAAAGTCCCCTGTTTGGACTGCTTGCTTACTGTCCAGGACTTTTCTAAGTGTGGTAGGCTGTTTTGGGATGTGAAGGTCAAGTTCCTTTGTTGGTTGAAGAGCTTTGTTATCACCACTTGATGTTTTCCTCGTCTTTTGGGCATATGTTTGATTGGTACAGCTTGCCTTTAGTCTTTGTTTAAACTGTTAGTATGGTTTGAGGCAATATATCAGATGGTGATACCACTAAAGAGGTTCCAAAGAGTGTAAACACTCTTTTCTCTACTCTTGAAAACATCAGGTTGCAAATAGTGAGTGTGAAACTTGATTGGATAAACTCCATGCAGTTTTCCCCATTAGATCATTTTACAATGTAGACCAAAAAAGTTGTCCTCTATTAACCCCTTGTTTTGCTAGATGATCAGGCAAAGTATTTGGCTATCGCTGTACCAGTTGTATAGTAATTTGCATATTCCTTGTGAACCACTTGAATCGCTTTATCTCATTCTTGTAGACCCAAAGTACATCATCCTTCTTCAGCAATCAGCTTTTAGGACTCCTTCAACTTCCAATTGAAAACTGCCAAAGCTGTATAGAATGCTGTTACAGAAATCCTCCAGATTAGTGTTCTGCCATCTTTTCATGTTATAGGGATTTTGTCTTGTAGAGAAGAGCAGCAGTGGGACTGACTCACATTCCCATAGTGTGGGAAGGCTTAAGGTGCCTTTCTTCATTCTACTTTCTTTTATTCTTTGATTCTCTTAGAAAAATGATTAGTTACCAATCCAAAAAAAGGACACTTGTAGAACTTGGGGGATTCCGCAAGGTGTAGACTGGGAATGAAAAAATGGTCAATCCAGAGTCCCCTGTCAAGTGAATGTTTTTCATTAACCACAAGATTCATCCACAATACTGGCCCAAAAAGTTATACATCATCGCAAAATGATAGTTGCCATATAATTAATATAATATCAACAGCCATTGAGACAGATGGTAGTGATCTTTTTAAAGAGGAAAAATAGACTTTCTAGCTCTGTTTTGATGCTTTATCAGTGATTGTTTGTTCTGATGTTAAACTGCAGAGTGTGAATGTGTGATGCTGCTATGTTTATGTGCAAGCTGTGATGCTTCATATGTGACCAATATGATGCTAAGAAACAATATTGTTATGCATCTTTTACGCATTTATTTCTTATACTCTGCAACTAAATTTCTCTACATCACCATCATTGCTTAATGGTAAATCCTTAGCAACAATAGAAGAAATGACAACCCATTTAGTAGTTAAGCTTATATTCCAAAATATTTTACATATTACCTGCTGTATTGCAAGCTCCATAAATGCAAGAGTGGCTGATGAGTCTTTTCCATTCACTGATGCCATCTCATGTAAAAAGAGAGTTTTCTTCTATTCTACATTTGGGAAAAACAATAGACATAAGTGAACATACATACATACATACATATATATATTTTCCCCACATAATGTTTTTCCAAGATTAACAATAAGTATCACTGATTTAATATGCTTAGAGTTTAACAAACATAAAGAAGGAACAAGCACAGTATGTATGGTTCAAATTGTTGGCAAATTTCCTAATGTTTCCATGACATAAGTGAGCGTCAGAAAACAAATCACTTGGGCTGATATAGAGTCACCACCCATCAATCAAAGAAAATGGAGGTGATGGGTCCTTCAAAAATTGGGCATGAAATCATTTTCATCCAATAGTGACTCCAAACCTAGAGCACCAGTCAAACCAGTCCAAATAAGACTCTGATGGGGAGAGGGAAGGGGTTAAGCACCCCTTTCCTGTTTCAGTAGGTGGGGCCAAGCATATGGGGGAACCCAAAGCAATTACAAGCAAACTAAGGAAAATCACCAATTATTGCAAGAACAAGGATTATACGATCATGCATGAAAAAGCATTTTGCAAGTAACATAATGAATTATTCACACCAATTAGCAGTCATAAGCATTACCGGGAATGAAGACTACCTTCATATCTGAAATGAAATTTCCCAAAAAAAAGTACCATTCCATAACATGCAATGATCTTTCGATATCAAGAGATTAAATCGTTAACATAAAAGAAAGATATGTAATCCAATAACATAAGGGCAGAAACAATCACAGACCTGAAACAATAACTACCATGCAAGATTAAAAAAGAGAGAGAGAGAGAGAGAGATTACTCCAATTAACTAAAAAGACAAATGCTATAAAGGTGGATTGGGTGAAAATTGAAGAATATTTTGAAATGATAATTATGAGAGGCATGGAAAGACTCAACAGCACACTGTCACCTCTCTAAAAAGTAGAAAAGCATTTATGATTCTTTTAAGATTTCAGAAACAAATAATATCTTTTTAACTTTTCATATTTCAGATTTCACATTTATCTTCTCCTACCTCCAACGGTTCTCCGCACTCCAACGGCCCTCTGCAACTCATAGGATCTTAGATAAAAATCTCATCCCATTTTTTTCTCTTTCAATCAAATACGACCCCAAAAATCTCACCATTCTCTCGTTTTTTCTCTTTTTCTCTCTGCGTCTGTCCTCAAAATATTTCAGCCATCTACAAAATTTATTGTTTTTGTTAGTTACTCAAAACCTACCTTAAGAAATCCAGGTAAAATATTGTGTTTTCTTTAATATATATTGTATTGATTAGCTTTTTTCCTCTTTCAATCATTTTCTTCTTTGTTAAACCATACGGTTTTAGGGTCCAATTGGTTTGCAGTCAGAATCAGAATCAAAATCCTATGGAATTGGAATCGGAATGGCCTATTCCCATAGTCTGTTTGATTCAGACAACAATGGGAATGGGAATTGGAATTAGCATAGGATTTCATTCCCAAGGGAGGGGCAGGGAATGGTTCAGACAACAATGGGAATGGGAATTGGAATTAGCATAGGATTTCATTCCCAAGGGAGGGGCAGGGAATGGCCATTCCCTCAAATGGGGGAATGACATTCCAGCAAGAATGGGAATGGGATTCTGATTCCGCCCAACCAAACAGTTGGAATCGGAATAGCCCATTCCTATTCTGATTCCAGACCCCTATTCCTGCAAACCAAACAGGGCCTTAGTGTTTTCTCCTCTGCTGAAAACCCAGATCGCAAGTCCTGGCTTTTGGACTTTTTTATGTTTTGTGGTTGTGCTTAAGCCTTAATGGCTAGACTTTTTATGTTAGAATGTTACAGGTGTTTATATTTTATTTTCCGATTATAAACTCCAAATCCATGTCAATATTGGAAGATTTGCAAGATAATAATGCCAACATTAGCACAACAAAGATGTTTGATGGGGATTTGGAATTTATTGTTAAGTTTTAAAGGAACATGGTTCAGATATTCCATCAAATACTTCAATCAATTTGTCCCTCCATCTATGGGCACGAGCTTGTTTTTTAGAGAAAAGCAGTTTCAACATTCAATTTAATCTATGCTTCTGTTTGAAGGGTTAGGATCCATCACATGGATGTCCAAACCATACTAGATGGTTGGGCGAAATTTCAAAATTTCCTAATCCTTCTAGGACTCGAATTCCCTATGTTTTGAAAAACTGCGTTTTTCCGAAACGGTCTTGCATTGAACTAGACCATATTTGAAACCAAATAAAAAGGGAGATGTATACCTGATACAGATACCACAAATGCAGATCCCAAGGTGGAAGTTCACGCCCAAATCAGTCCTAAAACTAGCCTCCACTGAAGATGGCACAGTATGTACCTAAAGCCGGTTCAGCATCACAGTTTTCTGCAAAACTGAGATCCAACTGCTTGGATCGAACTAAGGATGATAAGCGTGATATTCCCTGAATTTTTCTTGCAAAAATCAGGGGAAAACAAACCTAAATCAGTCCCAGATAGCTGATGTCGGACTGGGAAAAAACTAGGAGATAAAATGGTGCAAAGAGAACCATAAACTACAAAAATATGTTGTTTTGGACTGGTCCGCCCCCTCCTCTTTTATAATATCTTATGGAGTTATCTCCTAATCTAATTAGAAGATTATCCATATCCAAATCTGATCTGGACCCTAATTAAAGATAAGGTTTATCTTCTTATAAGATAGGCTTATCTTCTTATAAGATAAGGCGAGAGTAATGAACAAAGAGAAAAAGAGAGAGTGAAGAGAGCAAAGAGAATAGGGAAGAGATTGAGAGATTGGAAGGGTAGAGGAGAAGAGGGTTTTATTCATTCCGTTCCAGCCATTGAATGCATCATCTATTTCTACTATCACCACCGGTGATATCCCACCACCAACAAGATGTAAGATATATCTTTTTTTCTCTTTTCAATTCACGATTAGAATAAGCTGAAGTGCTCAAGCTCCTAATTATGCTAAAAATTTCTAATTGTTTCTTGATAAGGCCATTTTGTTGGTTTCACTAGTTTTGGCACTTTGCTCTTTCCCCGTTCTGAAGTTAGAGTATCTGCATCTCCTCTAGTCCAGGGGAAGTAGCCGAAGCTCCTCTAGTTTTGTCCAATTGGTCAGTCGAGTAAGAGCATGGAGTCCTGATAGAAAAGGGGTGGGGATGTACCTCCTCACCCTTGTGCTCAGGTTCCTGGGACTAGATGAGTGTGTAGGTCGTCCCCCTGCTTCCTAATTTGATTTTGTTTGGCTTCAAGTAGGGAATTGACATTCACTCCGACGAGAGAGGGGTGCCTAATCCCTTCCCTCTCTCTCTCAACTTACCTAGACAAGTCTTGTCTAGGCTGAGGAGCATGGAGTCATCTTACAAATTCAAGTCTGGGAGACCCAACACTCCCTGTTTCGTTTTTTCTAATGGATGGCAATTCTATTTGCTCGGTTATGAAGTGAATGGTCGATCTGAAGTTCTTTTTTTTTTTTTTGAAGCCTAATAAGGCAATTTTTTTTATCAGCAAGAAATTTTATTAATAAAGTAGCAAAGGTTACAATCAGTTACAAAAGTTATAGGTAGTAGAAAAGCATTAACCTAATCTGCACCCACAAACAATCAGTTACAGTTCTGCCCAGTACAATGTAGATCTATTTGCCCCTTGTTTTGCTAGGGTATCCGCCACCCCATTTGCGCTCCGTTTGACCCAACCAAACTGAGAGTTGATCTTCCTTGTAAGCATGTCAATTTCTCTAAAGATAAATTTGAGCTTCCAAGGTACTGAGGTGATGTTTTTAAACCAAGAAATGACCAATAGTGAGTCTCCATCTATTTCTAAGTTTGTTGTTCCTATCTACTCATCCATCTTTAGACCTAGAAGTAGGGCTAGAGATTCAGCCTGTATTGAGTCACCAATACCTATTGGTCCTGAGAAGAGTGCCACCACCACACCCTGATGATTTCTAATCACACCCCCTATGCCTGCCCTTCCTGGGTTACCAAAAGAACTCCCATCAAAATTTAGTTTTAGTTTGTTCAGTGCCAGGCTTTCATTCCTCACTCACAATTACTTTGGGTGCATCTGTTAGTGCTACTTCAGCCCAACTTCTTAAAATCTTATTCATGGAGAAATTTTTTAATAGCTCCAAGGTCTTCACTCAATGTACAGTTCTGATTTTTATGGCTTCATCACTTCCTCCTTTGATTTACTTTTTTCAAAGAAAATTCTTAGGTTTCTTTCCTCCCATATAGTCCATACTGTAGCTGCTCTTGCTGCCTTCCATAAGCATTTTCCTCTTTTCTTATGTTGTCTCAGGAAGGAGGGGCTGAAAAGACTTACCACATCCTGTGGGGGAGCCCATCTGCATCCAAAGAGAGAACAAACAACATTCCAAATACCAGAAACAAAGGAGCAAGATAAAAGTAAATGGGGTAGGGTTTCACCACAATCCAAACAAAGGACACACACATGAGAGAGGCATTTATTTGGCTTCCTTTTTTGTAGCACATCACAAGTGTCTACCTTCCCTAAGAACACTTCCCAACAAAAAGTTTGTACTTTTGGAGGAATCGGTTTACACCATATTTCTTTCACAGGGGAAGTTCACCACCCTTGGGTCAGAGTGAGTGAGCAAACCAAAGAAAGATGCACAAGAAAATAAACCATCATGAGTTGGGGTACAAACTCTACTATCAGCTATAGATTGGTCTAAATAGACCCTCTCAAGTGTTGAGATTAAAAGCACTAGAGACTCACATTCATTTTCCCTCAATCCTCTTCTGAACCCAAAATCCCAAGAGAAACAAAAGTCTGAGAGCAAACCAAACCTAGCAACAGGTTTGTTTTTAAGGTTTGATAAAGAGTAAAGATCCGGGAATTTAACCATAAGAGGCATATCCCCAACCCAAAGGTCTTCCCAGAATATAACTTTATTGCCACATCCAACATCAAATCTGATAAATTGAAGAAAGGTTGGTAATGCCTCATAGATTGCCTTCCAAGGAGAGTTTGGAGCTGCATTGGAGGCTAGTTTTGCATCCCA